GTGGTTTCTGTCTCCTTTGGTACCAAACCACACTTTATTGCAATTTCCATTCACTAAACTCTGACTGTTCACCAGTGTGTCTGCAGAGCCCAGAACAGTGTCTGGCACACGGAGGGCATCAGAGAATGACCTTGGAGTAATAACAGTTGATGGATGGATGAGAGAGAAAAAAAAGAGAGAGATAGGAAATAAACAAATACAAAGTAAAGTTCAGTCACAGTAACTCAGAGGAAACCTCAGTCCCCGAAGGGGCAGAGGGCCCTGAGACTTTGGGGGGATGGCTGGGAAGCAAATTGGCTCAGCACCAACCCCCATCCACTCCCATTGCAGGGCTGATCCGGTCCCGGGTTCGCGGGGCTGATGTGGCCTCAGCTGCCATCCTGACCTTCCTGGACAGCCACTGCGAAGTGAACACCGAGTGGCTGCAGCCCATGCTGCAGCGGGTGAAGGAGGTGGGTCTGTATGTCCCCGGGGGAGCTCTGTCCCTCAGAACGTGCTTGCCGTGTCTTGGCATGAGGGCGTAGGAACCGACTTTGAAGTTGGGTGGGCAAAGTAGGAGCCTAAATGATCTGCTGTCTCCTGAGCGACTTTACATTATCGAGCTTTCTCACCTGAAAACTGGCATAATTATAATACTTGTCCAACCGAGGTGTTGTGAGAATTGAATTGGATAAAAGCCTGGGTGAGCTATGAAGCTCCAACTACAAATGGGCACTGCTGTTTTCCCCTTGGGGCAGGCAGGGTGCTGTGCTGGGGTGGGAGGGGCTTTGGGTTAGTCTAAGAAGCCCGAGAGGGTGGGAAGAGGGGATGGTGTTCTCAAGGAGGTGGGGGTCACCATGTGCCTGCTGTTCTCTAGAATGGGGAGGATTTGGACAGATGGAGGGAAGGAAGAGGTGATTACAACTCATTTACAAAAAGACAAATGTCCCAATTTAAAAATGGGCAAAGGGTTTGAATGGACATTTCTTTAAGGAAAATACACAAGTGGCTAACAACACATGGAAAGATGCTCAACATTACTAAGTTCTTAGGGAAATGCAAGGGGGGAAAACTACAGTGAGATATCACTGGGTACTACTAGGATGGCTGTAATCAAAGGGCAGACAGTAGCAAGTGCTGGTGAAGATGAGGATAGATAGGAGCCTTCATATATTGCTGGCAGGAATGTCAGGTGGTGCATCCCTTTGGAAACCAGTCTGGCAGTTCCTCAAAAGTCTGAACACAGAGTTATCGTATGACCCAGCAATTCTACAGCTAGCTATGTACCCGAGAGAAATGAAACATACTCCACACAAAAACTTCTACACAAGACTTCTGAGCAGTATTATTCAGAACAGACAAAACATGGAAACGATCCAAATGTCCATCAACTGATTCATCGGTAACAACATGTGATTTATCTGTCCAATAGGATATTATTCAGCGATAAAAAGCAGTGAAGTACCATTACACGTTATGACATGGATGAACCTTGAAAACATTATGTTAAGTGAAAGAAGCCAGTCACTAAAGACCACATATTGCATGATTCCATGTATATGAAATGTCTAGAATAAACCTATAGAAATAAAAAGTAGATCAGTGGTTGTCAGGGGCTGGAGGGAGAGGGTAAAGGGAGCAAGAGCTAATGGGTTCAGGGTTTCTTGCAGGGTGATGAGAATGTTCTGGAATTAGGTAGTGGCAGTGGTTGTACAACCTTGTGACCGTACTAAAAGCCACTGAGTTGTACACTTTAAAATCATAAATTTTATGGTGCATCAATTGTATCTAATAAAATTGTTATAAAAATGTGTACTGTATTTCAGTGCATAAGAAGTCTATAAAAAGGATAAGCTGAGGCCCCCACAGAGAAACCATGGATGGTCTCCCCTAATCTTTCTCCTCCTCCCAGACTTTTGTCGTTCTGAGACGGGGTGTGAATGAGCGGCAGAGCTAGATTCCAAGGTGCAGATGAAAGGATTTTGAGGGTCCGTGCAGAGTGTGGGGAAAGGAGAGAAAGAAAAGGCTCTTCCCGCGTCCCTCCCCGGAGGGAGAGAGAAGAGAGGGCTGAAGGACGGCTGATAAGCTTTACATGTGGCGTATGACAAAATTCACAACCACAACTACTACCCCCCAACACCTAAAAAAAAAAAAAAACTTTAGTAAAATTGACATCACCCATCAATGTTTTGGAGGCGGGTATGTGTCTGGGAGGTGATGAAGGAAGCAGCGAGTCTGACCTCGAAGCAGATGTGACGAGAGGAGCGACACCCAGGTTACGTGGGGCCGCAGGTGGCCTAGTGGGGAAGACTCAACCCAAACATGTACAGAAGTGGACAACAATTAATAAAACAACAGTTCGCACCAGCAACAGAACTAACTCAGGCCGCGTTTGGTTCACTATTCCAGGAATTGTCTAGACTGTAGTTGTGAGAACAGCTCAGCCTGAGACAATCAAGGAAAGCTTCGCTGAGGAGGTGAGGTCCCAGCAGGGCTCAACACGATGTGAGAGTAAAAAGACTGGGAGAGCATTGTGCCCATGGGACCTAGGTGGGACCTTCCAGGAGCCTGGATGTGGTGATAAAGCTCTGGGAGCCTAACCTGTCCTGCGGAAATGCTGAGTGCCCCATGCCTTGGAGAGACCTTCCTCCCAGAGCAGGCAGCGGGGCCTTTTTTCACGGTCCCTGGCCTCATACTATCTCTCATTTCCTCTCCTAGGACCACACCCGCGTGGTGAGCCCCATCATCGATGTCATCAGTCTGGATAATTTTGCCTACCTTGCCGCATCTGCTGACCTTCGCGGAGGTGGGTCCTGCTCCCAAGGGAGGGGCTCTAGACCAGAAAGGAGGCAGGTGAGGGCAGGCAGCAGCCCTGTCTTGGTGCTCTTCTTCCCAGCTGTGCCAGAGCATCTCACATACCCCCTTGCCTCCAGAAAATGTAAAGGCATTAGGGGAGCCCTGGGGCAGGGGAGACAAAGGACCAGAGCCAGTAGTTGCAGGCTCCTGGCACAATCAGTGGCAGAGACAAGCTAGTCTTTCCCTCTCCACAAACATTGACACATTCTTCTCAAAATGCTGCCAGTCCAGGGACCATGGCCAAGTCCTGGCAGAAGGACATGATATGACAGCTGTCTTGGGGTGGGGGAGGGGGAGCCCTCAACCTTATGTGAATTCCTACACACACGGACCCCCTGGAAACAGTCTGGACCTTTGCTGTCTAATATGGTAGCTATTAGCCATGTTTGCTTACTGCACTCTTGAAATGTGAGTAGTCTGAATTGAAATGTGCTGTAAGCATAAAATACATACCAGGTTTCGAAGATTTAGTATGAAAGAATGTAAAATGTCTCATTAGTCATATTTTATGTTGATTACATGTTAGAATGATAATATTTTGTTAAAAATATATTATTCAAATCAATTTCATATGTTCTTATTACTTTTTGATATGGCTACTAGAAAAATTTTAATAATGTATGTGGCTTGCATTTCTGGCTTCCATTCTCTTTCTCTTGGACAGCTTTGGTCTAGACTTTAGAGCTGTACCATCCAATGCAGTAGACAATAGCCACGTTTAGCTATTTAAATTTAAATTAATTAAAATTAAATAAAATTTAAAATTTGGTTTCTTAGTCACACTAGCCACACTCAAGTGCTCAGTAGCCACAGGTGGACAATGCAGTTGTAGAACACGTCCATCATTGCAGAAAGTTCTACTAGACAGGCTGATCGAGAAAATATATTGCTGGGAGCTAGTGGGCAGAACAGATTTTTGGGGGGTCCTGACTTCCAATAAATAGACATAACCATCAATTAGATCTCAGAGTTGAGTGAGATTCTAAAGGCAGCCAGGCATTTCTCCTTTGAGAACTCTTCCCAAAGAGTTCTCACCTCAGGGCCTTTGCATTTGCTGTTCCCCGTGCCTGAAATTCCCTTTCCTCATATATCTGCATGGATCAGTACTGCATTCAGGTTTCTACTCAAATGTCACCTCACCAGAGAGCCGTTCCTGACTGCCCGCACTAGAATAGCATGGACACAGCTCCTTTCTTTTCTTTTCTTTCTTTCTTTCTTTCTTTTTTCTTTTATTTATTTTTTATTTTTATTTTTAGCACTTTCAGTCCCAACCAACATTCATTCCTTGACTTATCTTTGTAGTCTCTGTCTTTTCTAGTAGATTGGAACTCCACAAGGGCAGAGACCTGAAGGAATGACTACACGAATTGCCCAGAGCTGTCTGTGAGCTGGGCTTGGATCCAGGAAGACTTTGAGGGGTGTCAGAGTGAGGGGACAACCGTGAGGGGACAACTCTGCCCTGAGCCCCACTCACCCTGCTCTGTCCCTTAGGATTCGACTGGAGCCTGCATTTCAAGTGGGAGCAGATCCCTCTTGAGCAGAAGATTTCCCGGACAGACCCCACCAGGCCCATAAGGTCAGGGCTGCTATGAGCTCCGGGGAGACCCCTTTCTTACCTGAGGCCTGGGAGGCAGCTGCGGGGCCTTTTCAGTCTCCAGGGTTCTTGAGGGTACACGGTCTAAGTGCTGACTCTGTTCTGGGCCCCAGGGACAGAGTAGGATGTCAGCCAGACATCCTACCCCAGTGACTCTGCAAGCAGGGGATGCTGGGGCAAATGGCCTGGGGTCCTAGGGTTATCTAGAGGGGCCTCCAGCTTCTTAAGCTCATTCATGTTGCTTCTGTCCTCTCCTTGCTCAGGACGCCTGTCATAGCTGGAGGAATCTTTGTGATTGACAAGTCCTGGTTTAATCACTTGGGAAAGTATGATGCCCAGATGGACATCTGGGGGGGAGAGAATTTTGGTAAGTTGGGAAATAACACAATAGTAAAAACAATAATAATAATGGTGGGTAACTCTTGACCGAGTACTATCTATGCATAAAGTCCTGTTCCAAGGACTTAATCCTCACGATGACCCTCTGAGGTAAGTACTATTATCTCCGTTTTACTGATAAAGAAACTATGGCATAGAGAGGTTAAGTAATTTGTCCAATGCCATGCAGCTAGTCAACAAAGAGATTTAGGTGGTTAGGGGGAGCCACGTGGCTGGACGTATACGTGGAAGAGCATGCAGAGTGTAACATGGTCCACAGCTTAAACACACGATTGGTTCCCTACCAGAAAGGCTGGGAGTGTGTGCAGTCGAGGGTATTGGGTAAATGTAAGCAATAGGGCCAGATGGCCTGGTACAAATCCTAGCCCTACCACCTACAAGCTGTTTGGCCCTGGGCAAGTTAAAAACCTCCCTAAGCCTCAGTTTCCTCAAGAGGCCGTTATGAGTACCAAGTGAGATGATGAGTTAAAATTCATGGCACAGTGCCAGCAGCTATTGTCGTTACTTCTGAGGCCACAGGAACCCTCTAGCCCCAGAAGGAAAGGGAAGAGCTAGTGAATTCCCAAGGTTGTTGGTGAAGTTCAGGTAAGATAAGGGCCAGACATAAATGGAACACCCGACATAGGTGATTTCAGGGAGTTTATTAAAGGGCCTATTTACATGATGTGGGCAAGACGGAGGGAACTCCAAGAAATGGTGTAGTACTGGGCTAGACTGGTGACTGCTAGGAGGTGTCACCACCCCTAGGTCCGAAAGATGGGGAAGGAGCGCCCCCTGACAGGAGCTATGGACTTGGGGCACCTGCAGCCAGCCCACAGCATCCTGGTGGAGGGTATTGTGGGATAAACACCTGCCCTCCCTCTCCCCACTCTGATCTCCTGCTGGTGCCTCCGCTGGCTGAACCTGGGCCCTGCAGGAAGGAAGCCCAGTGGTGCAGCCCACACGGGCAGCCTCCCAGACAAGGAGCAGGGTGGAGAAGGCATCCTGCAGGTCTCCCGGAGCCGGGGCAGAAGCTTCAAGGCCTATAAACACAGGCCTGCCCTTGCGGTGGACCCAGTCCTTTGCAGAGCCCTTTCCCTGTTTCTTTTTTCATCCTAACCAGGTTTCTTTCGAAGTAAATAGGGCCGGTGGTATCTCACCCATCTGACAGGTAGAAAAACCGAGGTGGACGCTGCCCTCCAGATTTCAGTCAGGAAACTCCACGTCCAGCAGGTGTTTGCAGCACCTTGACTAGAGCCACTTAAGTGTTGTGAGGTGTGACCAAAGTCTGTGTTTCTGAGATGCGAGGAGCAGGTCTTTCTCCTCTCCCTGAGCGGGATACAGATGAGCAGCGGGACTTAAAACAGGCCTGATCTCAACTCAAAACCAGCCAGAGTGGAAACAGGCATGGGGTTGTCTCCCCTTTGTAACTTACTCTTTGAAACTATTTCCAGGGAGGCATCTAGAGGAATAAATTCGGGAACTGGGGTGCAGTGACCCTTCCATTCTGACCTTCTTTCATGTGTTTTAAGCTTTACTGACCGCTTTTGTGTCCTTGGTCTCAGCCTGCAGGGAGCTTTGGCAAAGCCAGTTTTCTGTACAGACTTAGAGGACTGGGAAGCTAATGGTCTCTCCTGCATCCAGAGGCCTTTTCTTTATTCTTTTTTTTATTTTCTCTTCTTTTTCTTTTTTCCTTTTCTTTTTCTTTCTTTTTCTTTTTTGGCTGGGGACTGAGAGAGCGACAAATGAATGATCAAATAGCTAACTTCAAACGCTACCTGAGACGAGGGCTCGGTGGTTAGGGAACTTGAAAGGTGAACTGTAGAGTCCTTCTGGAGAGGGATTTTGTTTCTTAGAGGAAATTCAAAGAAATTTCTAGGCTAGCCATGATTTTGAGCCGGGAGATTCCTACAGCCGATGGGTTTGGGCTTTTCATTTTGTTTCCTTGTTGAAGGAAGGAAGATGCCCAAACTGAGACGCATTCCTTTGTCTCCCAAGAGAGCCAAACTCGGGAGCTTAGAGGCCACCTCGAGTGGGGGTGGCGAGTGAGAAAACCTTACGAGTCACATTAGGGATTCTTTTAGGACCTAGTCGGATCATGTCTATACTGCTGCTCAAGACCCTTCCAGGGCTCCCGCACCACTCAGAGCAAAACCCAAAGTCCTGAAGTCATCTAACCTTCCCGCACAAGCTCATAGCACCAGCTCTGCCCTACCTGATTCCGCTCTGGCCACTTGGCCTCCTTGCTGAGCCTTGAACTTGCCAGCCAC